GTCACAGCTCACAGCAACCTCAAACTCTTGGGCTTAAGCGATTCTCTTGCCTCAGCCTCCCAAGTAGCTGGGACTACAGGTGCCTGCCACAACGCCTAGCTATTTTTTGTTTCAGTTGTCGTTGTTTAGCTGGCTAGAGCTGGGTTCGAATCCACCAGCCTCAGTGTATGTGGCCAGCGCCATAACCACTGTGCTACAGGTGCTGAGCCTGTACTTGCTTTTTAAGAGAAAATAGATTATTTTGAAAATCTTTCAAAATCAACAAATTTCCAGATGTTGCAAGCAGCCTTATTGAAGTTTCTGCTCCCCCCCCATTTTTATTCAGCTTGATAGAATTTAATGACCTAATAGTTTAAACATAAGACAAGAGTTTTGACTCTTCCATTTACTAGTGCTTTGTCCATAGTTTTCTTTTGTGGTTGCTTATAACATTTGATTGAAATATATATATGCAGGAAATAAGCACACTTCAGAAGATCACAGCTCTGTGGTTTTTCACAAAGTGAATATATCCATGAAATCAGCAGCCATGGAAAGTAAAATATAACCTTATCAACCTACTAGAATCTCTTCCCTCCTCATAGTCACTGTAGGTTAGCCCCTGGCTCCCCTTGCCTCCATCTACAGTAGTGGTTCTCAACCTGTGGGTTACAACCCCTTTGGGGGTTGAAAGACCCTTTCACAGGAGTCACCTAAGACCATCCTGCATATCAGATATTTACATTACAATTCATAACAGTACCAAAATTACCCTTACAAAGTAGCAACAAAAATAATTTTATGGTTGGGGGTCACCATAACATGAGGAACTAAAGGAATTAAAGGGTCGCTGCATTAGGAAGGCTAAGAACCATTGATCTATAGAAACCACTGAACTCACTTTCAGCACATACATTGAATTTTGTCAATTCTTTACTTTGCAGAAATGAAATCAAGTAGTGTTATGTGTGTAGCTTCTCTTGTTCAACATTGTTTGTGAAAACCATCTATGTTGTATGCCAGGTGTCCTCAAACTGCGGCCCGCCAGGTGTTTTTGCCGTCACTGCCTGTCCTGCTTAGCAGCCAATTCGTCCTGGGGCCCGCAATCTGGCCCTCCCAGGGTCTGAGGAACAGTGAACTGGCCCCCTGTTTAAAAAGTTTGAGGACCCCTGTTGTATGCAGTTGTAAATCATTTAAATTACTGTCTAGTGTTCATTCTACTTTTGAGAAGCATTTGGATAATTTCTGGTCTTTGGCTTTTACAAATGTTACTGCTGTGCACATTCTAGAATTTGTGCTTTGAAAAGCGCATGTACAGGTTGCTGTTAGATAACAAGTAGTAGAATTATTGGATCGTAAGAATATACTTATGTCTAGTTCTAGGACTGGAGTTGGTAAACTTTTTCTGTAAAGCAAATATTTTAGGCTTCTCAGTTTAGGTGATTTCTGTTGCATGGTTTTACCTCTGTCAAAACATTCTTAGCTCACTTGCTGTATTTTCCAAAACAGTTGTTTTGTTGACCTCTTTATAGACTTAGGATAAGGCAATTGTAATAGTAAAACCACCATTATATATTTCTCTTGACAGATTACTTTAAAAGGTTAGCAGAGGTCTTAAAATGTTTTATATTTGTGACTAAGCTAATTATTAAAACATTTGTGAAGTATTTAAAAATTTTTTCTTGTAATTTCTTTGTATTTTCTTTTTATAAGTGTGGCAAATGGTTTCCTAAGAGGTTAGTTTATCATGAAAATATATTTATTGTATTCCTATTTAGGATTAGTATTTTTTTTTTATTACTTGTCTGTTGTTAGTTATTTGTAAAATAATACTTTACCTCAATTTATTTCAGGATGTTCAAGATCCTTCAGTATTTATAACTTTCCCTTTGGAGGAAGATGAAAATATATCTTTAGTTGCTTGGACAACCACTCCCTGGACTCTACCTAGTAACCTTGCCCTCTGTGTCAATCCAGATATGCAATATGTGAAGATAAAAGGTAAGCATGTGCCTGGTTACATGGATTAGATAATTATATATTTGAGGAATCTATGAATGCTTACATTTCTTTCGGAGTAAAAACAGAATTTTTTCAAAAGAATCTGACTTAAAACAGTGGCTAAAAAGTAACATACAGGCTGGGCATGGTGGCACATGCCTATAATTCTAGCACTCTGGGAGGCCAGGGAGAATGAATTGCTGAAGTTTAGGAATTTGAGACCAGCCTGAACAAGAGTGAGACTCTGTCTCTGCCAAAAATAGAAAAAAATTGGTAAGCGTGCTGCAGTCCCAGCTACATGGGGGGCTGAGACAGCAAGATCACTTCAACCTAGGAGTTTGAGGTTGCAGCAAACTATGATGATGCCACCGCATTCTATGTAGGACAACAGAGCAAGACTCAGTCTCAAATAAAAAAGGAAAAAAAAAAGTAACATATAAAAGTTTAAATAGTACAGAGATATAAAAAGTAGAAAGTAAAATTTTGTTATAAAGCCAGTTTGTAATACGATTATACACATAACTCCACTGTTAGAGGATGAAGAATCTAAGATTCAGAAATGTGGCATCACATTTTTATTAGTGGTATTAGGAATTAATTATTCCTAACGAATTAGAGCTTGAAAACTTTGTGCCTTTACAATATTCGTTGGTAGAGGCTCGGCGCCTATAGCTCAACCGGCTAAGGCGCCAGCCACGTACACCTAAGGTGGCGGGTTCGAATCCCCAGCCCGGACCCGCCAAACAACAATGACGGCTGCAACCAAAAAATAGCCGGGCGTTGTGGCGGGCGCCTGTGGTCCCAGCTACTTGGGAGGCGGAGGCAGGAGACTCGCTTCAGCCCAGGAGTTGGAGGTTGCTGTGAGCTGTAATGCCACGGCACTCTACCCAGGGGGACAGCTTGAGGCTCTGTCTCAAAAAAAAAAAAAAAAAAAAAAAAAAAAATATTCGTTGGTAGAGAGTTACTATAGTTACATCTAGGACCTTTCCCTAGAGAGTTAACTGAAAAAAAGAAGATTAGTACTTTGTGAACAAATGTACCTAAGTGCAATAAACCAACTCCTGGGTTCAAGTGATCCTCTTGCCTCAGCCTCCCAAGTAGCTGGTACTACAGGAGCATGCCACAATGCCTGGCTTGTTTTTCTGGTTTTAGCAGAGATGAGATCTCACTCTTGCTCAGGTTGGTTTTGAATTCTTAGGCTCAAGTGATCCTCTGACCTTGGCCTCCCAAAGTGCTGGCATTCCATATGTGAGTCAACATCCCAGTAGTATTATATGTTATATGTTCATACATTTGCTCCAGGTTTTCTCTCTGTAGGATAAATCTTCCAGAAGCACTTCCAATAAGGGTACACAGATGTATACAAGGACATTGATGATTAATAGTATCCATTGTAGTAAAAATTTGAAAACAAGTTAAGTGTCTTAATAGTCATTATAACTTGTGATACCTCCATAAAATAGATTCCTACAGAGGTATTTAAAAGATTGAGAAGGATCTGTATGTGCTAATACATAGATATTCTCAAGGAATTAAGTAAAAACACATTTCAAGATCAAATAAATTATTATTCATAATTATTATTTTTAAATCTCACACATTTACATATATGTTTGTTAGTATATACATTGAATGATAGCTGGATGAATAGATACCCAAATGATAATGTCTGAGAGGGGATGAGATTACAGATGACTTTTACTTTGTGAACTTACTTGGTTTGTTAATTTTGTGCCCTTTTCTTTTTTTAAGATAGAGTCTCACTATGTTGCCCTCAGTTGAGTGCAGTGACGTCTCAGCTCACAGCAACCTCAAACTCTTGGGCTTAAGTGATTCTCTTGCCTCAGTCAGCCAAGTAGCTGGGACTACAGGAACCCGCCACAATGCCCGGCTATTTTTTGTTACAGTTGTCATTGTTGTTTAACTGGCCCTGACTGGTTTTGAACCTGTCAGCCTTGGTGTATGTGGCTGGTACTGTAACCACTATGCTACAGGCACCAAGCCAATTTTGTGCTTTTCAAACATCCACATTCATTACCTTGGGAATGAGAAAATAATGATTCATTTACTTAAAGTGGTTGTAGGTGTGATAAATAGTAAATACCAGCTGTCTAGCTATAGGGCACCCTGGATGCACATGGTATGGGAGCTCCTCAGGAGGAAAGTATGCCTGATGTGTATGTTTACAGTTAGCCAAAGTCTGAATATAACTAAGTCCACCTTTTTCCTTTTCCTCTTAGATATTGCTAGAGAAAAATTACTCATTTTAATGGAAGCCAGATTATCAGCCCTCTATAAGCTGGAGAGTGACTATGCGATCCTTGAAAGGTGAATATTCAAATAGTTGATATATGTCTGTGCCTTTATTTTTAAAAAGAGAAAAGCTTCCTTATCCAAAATCTGTATTATTCAAATTTAATTTTGAGTACTGAGTATGTACAAGTCAAGTGTTTTAGAATTAATGACAAAAAAATCAGCAAATCAATGGGGACTTAAGATTTGATGTGGCTCTAGTCTCGTTCCTTTGATTTTAATGTCATTATGACTTTTCTCCTTTTCTAGATTTCCTGGTGCCTATCTTAAAGGCAAGAAGTATAGGCCCCTATTTGACTACTTTTTGAAGGTAAGCTTGTGACTGCTTACTGCAAGAGCTCACCATCATCTGTTTATCTGTTAAGTTGGAGTGAAGTGATAAATGAAATTCCATTGTCTAATTATTATATTGTTCAAGTGAGTATGCCTCAATCCAAAAGTCTGCATTAGGATTAACAAAATTGATTTGTTTATAGATTTTTCTTAAATGATATGACATTACATTTGATTAGATTTTTGCATATATATTTTTATTTCATACAGTCTACGTATCAGCCAGCTTATTTAAGGTTTTCTTTTTCCCACATTTAAGAGAGTGATTAGAATAAAACATTGTGTAAAACTAAACGGAATTTATATCAAGTTGGTTAATGAGGCGGGTGTTGTAAATCTAGGCACCACTATAGAACTCGGATGGTAGCTCCTTAGTTTTATTAAGAGTCATAAAGCTGTTTTATGTGGTTTTCATTTACTGACAAGGGAGAATCCATACTTATAGTTGTAACCCCCACCCCTCATTCTCCATTACCAAAAGAAGAAGTTCAGCCATGAATTTCTCTTTAGTATTTATTTAAAGGTCTTGGAATAAGATTATAAACATCACCTTCAGGCCTGACTTTACACATTATGTGGAAATCAGCTGAACACATTATCACATCACAGCCCAAGATAAAACATTTGCTGGCCCTTCTGTTCCTGTTCAGGGCAGGGCGAGTTTTGTTGATGTAAGTGAACTCTGAGATTTAGGTTCTGTCCACCACGTTTCTGTTCATTGTGTCTCTCTCCTCATTTTTGTGCACCCCGAGTGTTTTCCCACATTTTGTGTTGCCTACTTAATGCAGTATCTGCTGAGTACAACAATATGGAAAAAAAAGTGAGACACTTTTAAAATAGTAGGAAAACATAATGAAAAAGGCAAAGACATATAAAAGGAAAGAACCATTTTTGCTGAGTAAAGGATATGTTTAAAGCAACATGGAGGGATGTGATTAGGAAACAGTTTGCCCCACACCAGCTGAGGAACTCTCAAAGCAGTGGTAGCGAAAACCTTACAGGGAGAGATGGAAAGAGGGCACAGCATACAGAAATCCACTAGGCAATGAAAAATGGTCATCATCTTTAATCATTAGAGAAGTGCAAGTCAAAACCAATCTGAGATCTAACTTCAGTAACATCAGCCCACATAACAAAATCCCAAAACTACAGACTGAATTTATGTCTTCTGAAAGAAGAGTTTTCTGAAAATGCCTCTTTGGTTTTTCCCTTGGAAAAAATGTCATGTTGCATTCTTCTCTTATGTGCCTTAACTTTTTTAAATTTTCTTTTGTTTTGTTTTGAGACAGGGTATCACTGTGTTGCCCTTGGTAGAGTGCTTTGGCATCACAGCTCATAGCAACCTCAAACTCTTGGGCTTAAGCAATTCTCTTGCCTCAGTCTCCCAAGTAGCTGGGATTACAGGTGCCCACCACAACACCTAGTTTTTTTTTTTTTGGTTGCAGTAGTCACTGTAGTCACTGTTTGGCAGGTCCAGGCCGGGCTCGGACCTGCCAGCTTCGGATTATGTGTCCAGGCCCTACTCACTGAGCTTCGGGCGCCAAGCCTAAACATTTTTTTTTTAATTATCTAATAGGAGTGTTCAACTTATAGCCTGTAGGCCACATGCTGATTTTGTGAGGACTTTTTTTGCTTATGTGTGGTGCTGGATATCATAAAAAGTATGCCCAGCCCCTTTTTTTGCTAATCAGCTTTCGTTAGCATTTGTGTATTTAATGCGTGACCCAAGACAACTCTTATTCTTTTAGGGTATGGTGGAGGGAAAAACACCCTTGGTCTAAGACTGGTTCTCAACCTTCCTAATGCCTCCTAATGCCACAACCCTATAATACAGTTCTTTATGTACACCCTTGGTCTAAGACAGTGGTTCTCAACCTTCCTAATGCTGCAACCCTGTAATACCTCATGTTGTGGTGACCCCTAACCTTAAAATTATTTTTGTTGCTACTTCATAACTAATTTTGCTACTGTTATGAATCATAATGTAAATATCTGATATGCAGGTTGTATTTTCATTGTTACAAAGGGATTGCGACCCACAGGTTGAGAACTGCTGGTTTAAGAGTTCTTTCACTGGATCAGTAACTCTGCCTTTATGAATCATAGACTCTTTTAAGAATCTAAAAACAGTTAAATCCTGTCCAAAAATGCACATGGATGCACTAGACAGGAACTTTAAGTTAATTCAGAGGTTTGTTTATAATAGGCATTCAACACATACTGAATTAAATTGAACAACACCTACCCATTGAATAACCTTCCTGAAATATTTGAGACCTTTGGTGACTTTAGAGAGGTACTATACATTCTCTTATCCCGTATGAAATCATCTGATGTTTAGCCCAGCCATCCCCTGAGAGGCTTTGAGAGACAGGATATAACGAGGGCTTTCTGTGTCTGCCCTTAGGATCAGTAAGATACTTTTATGTTCACTGTGTGTCAATGTGATTCTATGGACCCACATATTCTGTCTCCATTTTTTTACTGTTTAAAGGCACACCTTTTAACACATATTATACTATGCCTTCTGAAATGTTTCAAGTTGATTTTGGTTACAGCAATTAAAAATTTATTGTTATTTTTCAAGTTTAAAGTTCCGAAGAAGAGTACTTGTAGTTGAAAGTAACATTATATTTGGAACCTACGACCTTATTTCATGTCATGGTTGCTTTACTGTTTTGTATGTGATTTGGAAAAGATAGTTAATCTTCATTCTGAGTTTTCTCATCTGTGAAATACAAATAACAGCTGTATATATTTTTTTAAAGCTGGTATCTTGCTCTGTCGTTCAGGCTTGAGTGTTTGAGTGTGGTTAGCATCGTCATAGCTCACTGCAGCCTCAATTCCCAGATTCAAACCATTCTGCCGCAGCTTCCCAAGTAACTAGGATTACAGGTACACACAAGAGTACCTGGTTAATTTTTGTTGGTTTGTTTTTATGAGTTTTTTTTTTTAATTTTTAAATTTTGTTTTGTGTTTTGAGACTAGGTCTTACTGTGCTACCCAGGCTGGCCTCTAACTCTTGGCCTCAAGTGATCCTTATACCTCAGACTCCCAAAATGCTAGAATTACCTCAGACTCCCAAAATGCATGAGCCATTGTGCCTGACCAGCTATAATATTTTTAAGACATGAGAATACTAATACCTTTTTCACAGGATTATAGAGATTAAATGTGAAAGTCCTTTGGGAAGTCCTTTTAACCAGTGTAAGAGAAGTAGGACAGCTAAGGGCCAGTTTGGCAGATGTAAGGGTGAAGAGAAAGAAATAAGAGGAGATGAAGATAGAGTGCATCTGTTACCATTATATACATTAATCTGATGGTATTGCTGTTGTAGAGAAAACTAAATTTCCCCTAAGTTTTATAGTATGGAATAACCTGTAACTCTTGGCTGCTTCACCTGTTTTTTCAAGATTTGCCTTTTGTGACAGAGTAATTTGAGCTGGCTTGAAAGGAAAAGAAGAAACAGATTATCTGTAGTCTTTGAAAATGTACTGTGGGCCAGGAGTGGTGGCTCACACTTTTAATCCTTGCGTGCTGGGAGGTAGAGGTGGGTAGATGGTTTGAGCTCAGGAGTTAAATACCAGCCTGAGCAACAGCACAGTTAGCTGGGCTTTGTGGTGGGCACCTGTAGTCCCAGTTACTTGGGAAGCTGAGGTATGAGAATCATTTGAGCCCAAGAGGTTGCTGTGAGCTATGACAGCGCAGCATTCTACCGAGGGTAACAGAGTAAAATTATCTCAAAAAAAAGAGAGAGAGACAAAGAAAGAAAAAGAAGAGAAGGAAAATGTACTGGCAAGTGAATAGTTTAGGGAGCATGTTTTCTGAGACTGTTGCTAAACTACATGTTAGGGTGAAGGTTGGGGTTGGAAGAACTAAGAAAATTTGAAAATTTTATCTACACGTCTTCAGATAATTATTTCAATTATAAGTGTTTAGTTATTAGAAAAGATATTTTGAATTAACATGCTGCTTCACAGTTTGAATTACTCTGTCTTTCCTATTTATGGAAATATATTTTACTTGTTAAAAGTTTTTTCAGGCTCTTACAAAAATTGTTATAAGGTTAACATTGTGATACATACAGTTTCGCAATGTTTCATCCCTGAAGTTGCATCCCTAAAGCCTGCTAACTTTTCTTTTCAGTGTAAAGAGAATGGTGCTTTCACTGTACTTGTTGACAACTATGTGAAGGAAGAGGAAGGCACAGGCGTTGTACACCAGGCCCCTTACTTTGGTGCTGTAAGTAGCATAAATCTCACAGATATATTTGAGAAGTAAATGTCGTACACCACTTTTCATGAGACTGAGTCGTGTGCCTTATGTTGCTTGCTCTTATTTGGATCATCGGATCAGCCTCATTTGTGCCTCACCACTTACTAGATGGCTTATGAAATTTGCATCTGCAATTCCCCTTTATCCTGAGCTGAGTTCTGAAAATGATGGGTCAAGGCAGGGCCACTACTAGGCATTTAATTTTTCTAAAGTACCAGGCTACCTGCTGTGTCTTCATTTGTGGTTTATATCCAGTAAACTCTCTTTTTGGTGTGCATTTCTGTGAGTTTTAACAAGTACCTAGAGACATGTAGGTTCCTTAGCCATCAGTGTACAGACCATTTCCTTC